CAACCGCAAAGTTGATAGCAGAAGCCGTTGTTTCTCCATGATTAGTCCTACATGGGAACGCAGATCCCTGCGAGAGTGAAATCCCTGGAATGGGTAACATCAAGAATGCCGTACCGATCCAGCACACCGTCAAGGTGGTAGCCACAGATATCTTCACGCGTCTTAGCGTGACATGGGTTAGGTAGCGCAGAGGGCGTGACACCATGATGTACTTATTGATCCCGATGAAGCTCAGTGTGGTCATTAGAGAGAACAAGAATACCGATGAGATGAATGGGGAGACTTCTCGTGACACGATGCAATTGATGCTAATAGGTATAAAGGAGAGGAGAATGGTCAACAGCCAAGTGACACAAGAGAGCATGTTGAGGTAGGCCAGTACTTTGTACAGAAATCGCGTTACATCATGCATTTCTCTATCAGAACCCAGTACTAGTAGTAGGAGAATGTTGAGAACTGTGCACAGAAAGGTGCTTATGGAATTACTCGCTATTATCAACACGGTTTCAGATAAAAATATTTCTGAGATTGAACTGTTGTTTGCCATCTTGGTTTTCTGTCCAAGCGTCCCTGTTTATTCATATGACGCGCAAAATGCCTCATGCAAAATCGATACCGTTATGATTTGATCTTGTCGGCGGAGAACGATTAAGCTGTAAACGATGAGAAAGTTACACTCTAAAGTATTAAACTTGAAGATACTCTTTATCGTTGTCCTGAGACGGTTTTTCACATTTACAGTTCTTTCGAAAAAAGTAAGTTTTGTTGGAAAAACTGACTTTTATAACCAGGTCCATGTATTGTTGGCATTTCGTAGAGAATAGTCCATTTGCTTGTTGTCGTATGATACTCACTAGGTAGATACTAATTTATAGCTCGATCTGGTAGAATACTCGGTCTCTTTATTCAGTTCCACCTTCATTTTTGCTCATTGAATGAGATTAAATCACGACCAGCATACAGATCACACGTTTCTTGAGCAAATATATTCAATAATCGCTAAATGGTTCATGGTCATTTTGTCAGTGGAAAGGTAGAACACGTCATGCTGAGATCACTGTCAAAGTCCTAATGATGCTAAGATTGTCAAAATATGTGTAAATTACGCCGATGTTCCTGTATGCTAACATCTAACGATTTGCCTAATTGCTAAGTGCGCATTTCTTTGCTTTACACCAGTCACACCTGATGAGACCGATAGCAAGACCTGCAATATTTTGACTGATCATACAATTTCATTTCACAAGTGTTAATATTGTGTTGGTTTGGCTTCGGTTCGGGGTCGGTCTTACGGTATGACTGGAGTATAAGGCGTCGGACTATCCGCCAATGGAGCAGGCATCAATAATTATGTCGCCGGATATTATGACCTCGCTTGCTCAATTACAGCCGGAAGTCAGCAAACACACTAAGTGATATTGCGTCAGTGTTATTTGTAAATTTGTACCCAATATCGATCATTTCATATTTGGTTAATCACCCGCATCTGAATTGTTCAGAGCAGGCGCGTACGCAGGGGGGGTGTTTGGGGGGTTAAATTGGTATTTTTATGTGTGTAAACCCCCTAAAAATCCTAAAACCCCCCCCCCCCCCCCCTTTGGATTTTTTTTTTTTTTTTTTTTTTAATTATTAAATCAAAAAAAAAAAAAATCACCCCCATGGCTGACCTAAGAAGGTGACCTTACCCCCCACCCAACGGAGCAAAATGTCAATTTTTCAAATTTCGAGACAAAAAAAAAAGTGTCCTCTTCCCACCCCCACCCCCCCCCCCCCCCCCCCCCCCCCCCCCCCACTGAGCGACTTTTCGGCTGGCTGATCGTTGCGATTTTTTTTTGGACTCCCAAAAAAAAAAAAATGTCCGCTTACCCCCCCCCCCCCCCCCCCCCCCCCCCCCCCCCCCCCCACTGAGCGACTTTTTGGCCGGCGCGATTTTCAAATTTTCCTGGTCGTTGCGATTTCAAAACCCCCCCTTGAAAAATCCTGCGTACGCCACTGTTCAGAGTGATGGTAAAGATCATACATATTCAAACAATAGCGATATTAACCTTTTTCATCCTTTTTAATATTGATCGTTAATGCAATTTAAATTGACTTTGTCATTTAAAGCCCCATTTAGAGGTGGTTATCATACTTCGGCATACACGAGGTTAAATAATGTCTCTAATAGCAATGGCGTAGAATGGAAATTCATGAGAAAAGAAAAGCAGAGAAAGAAATATATATAGAGAGAGAGAGAGAGAAGAGAAGGAGGGGAGAGAGAGAGAAAGGGAAAGAGAGAGAGAGAGAGAGAGAGATAGAGAGGGAGAGAGAGAGAGAGAGAGAGAGAAAGGAAGAGAGAGAGAGAGAGAGAGAAGGAAAAGGAGAGGGCAAAATGATGAGAAAAGAGAGGACGATAGGATCCCCATTTCCACCTGCATACTCCCCTAATCGGTAACCTTTTTTAAAAACAATTCGCATTTTATTCACCAGTTTACGTGGGCCGCCCCATGATGTAAGTGCCCCGCAATGGATGGACATAGACACTGCCACAGCTTGTTGCTCATATTTCCACTGCCTGTTTGATTATTTAATGTAAAAGTGAAATATTTACTTACATTATACGTCGCCGGACTGTCGATTTCAAGGTCCGCGGTTCGAATCCCATCGCGGCACTAATGTCCTTTGTCAAGACATTGATCTACATTTGCCACACTCCACCCAGGTGAAGTAAATGGGGACCGGTTGGAAGTAATTCCTTGAATGCTGTGAGCACCGACGTCGTAGCCTAGCAGAGCCGGGGTAATATTGGAGCGCTTTGAGCACCCTGCAGGGTGGATAATTAAGTGCGCTATATAAATATCCAATATTATTATATTATTATTATTATCATTGACGTCATAGTGATGTAAAATGCATATTATCTTGCTACTCTCACCTCTATGTCATCGCACATGTCTTCTCTTTTCCTCCATCTCTTTTTTTTTCCATTCTGATCTCTCACATCCTTTTGCTATCCACAGTTCTCATTTTCTCATTCGTGTTTCATTGTACAAAGTCAAACGAATATTACCCCTTTGTATAATATTACAGTAATTTTAAATCTCTCATTAATTACATGTTTGATTTAAGTCATTTTACTAAAGTTACCGTGTTTGTTGGTAATTTCGTCACCCTCTGCCTATCTTCTCGACTTAATTCTATATAACCATCGATTCGATTAAACGGAAAATATAATTTCATTGAGCACCAAACAAAGTTAAACTCTCATTACCTATACAGGTCCTCGATTCGCACGTGGTTAGGAGCGATGTGATGATTGGCTCATTCAATCTAGACGTGGGATCAGTCTACCAGAGCGAAGAACACACGTTTCATAGCAAATGGCTACTGCTAACGTCTATGGATGAGTCTAAGTCTTCAGGGGCCAAAGGTTAGTTGCTGGTCAGCATCTCGGTGATAGGACAATGAGATGATTTGCCATTATGTCATTTTATGATTCTTATTTTAAGTTAAAGAGTCTCCCTCTCCCACTCCATAAGATGCCGAAGGTCGATTAAAGCAGAACAAAAATTAACGAAACAAAGAAATTGAGAACTTAGATGTATTAAAAGGCCAATGAACAGACAAGGAGTCAATTACAATTCGAATATTATAAGCTATTAGGAGCTTAAATATGTTTATTTTTCTACTTCTCACAGCTTTATTCATTGACTGAAGAAATGTTATGAATGGTATATACTCATATCCAAGAATAATTGACGTTCCAATTCATTGATCAAATAAGTACAGTGCGTATAAAAAAAAATATACCAAACTTGTTAAACTCTTAATTAGAAATTAATAACGATTGTGATCGTAATATATATTTCAATATGAAGAGTAAATTGTTTTCTGTCTAATGATATCCTACTCATTTTTTTTCTTGGACTGATGACTGAGAAACACAGGGTATTTAAAGGTCTCGTTATAATCGCCTTGTACCAAGTTCTGGCCGATGCAATTAACGTGGGTCAAGCCATAGACTTGTTCTTCTTTGGTCTGAAACCCCTTAAGGATTTGACTTCTAGCATCATACTTCAGAGCTTTATTGTTTAAATTGATTCAAGGCAGGCACGTACGAACCCCCCCCCTCAATTTTTGTTTATGTGCTAAAGGGTGACCAAAGCAAAATTTGAGCTTACCCCCCCCCCTAACTAAACGAAATATCGGTCGGCCGAATTTTCAATTTCCTTGAAAAAAATGTACTCTTACCCCCCCCCCCCCCCTCCCCCCGCTTATTCACCTGCTTGGTGAGCCGTTGCGAAATTTTTGGGACCAAGAAGAAAAAAAAATGCTCTTACACGCCCCCCCCCCGCTTATTCAGCGACTGGCTGAGTCGTTGCGAAATTTTCGGCGCGATTTTCAAATGTTAACCCCCCCCCCTTCGAAAAAATCCTGCGTACGCCACTGGTCGGCATCATTATTATTCTCTTCAGCCAAGTTGTCATACAAATCACGTGTAGGCCTAGTACTCGTACTACATGTGTCATTAATTATTATCAAACTTATTTTGAAATAAACAGCCAAATTCGGAGTTGGTTAGGATACTAAAAGTGGAAAGGAAATCACAAACTAGATTATAATAATATGATATAGTCACAAGACAAAATAATGAAATGTAATGAAAATGAATAAAGGTTATACGTGTAAACCGGCCATTTGCATAATTATGAGTGCATTTGAAGCATGTAATTTATTTATTTCATGTTAGAAAATCAAATGTGAGCACTCAACTCCTTGAGATCAGTTTCGTATGTTCCTCTTTTGTTCGTATATTTATTATGCTTATCGATTGAAGGCTGCTTTTACATGCAAGCAAGGAAACAGAAGTAGAAATCCGAGAAGCTCCATCGAAACCAAACAAGCTTTGCATTGAACTACACAAACTGCTAAACGTTATCTGTGTTTTTTTTTGGGGGGGGGGGGGGGAGGGGGCTAGGCATCTCTCTCTGACAGAGGGGGGGGGGTGGTATGTGCAGTTCTAATGACCCCCTCTCCCATTCACACACACAAGCACACACACGCACACGCACAATTGCATAGAAAACAAATCATGTTAAAATTAATGAGCTGTCGAAAATTTTGACAGAATCAATATATATAAGAGACTCTTATAGATAATAAAAATAGTTTTAGAACGTCCTATAAAGTGAGTCCAGTTTCTTTCTTCTCAAAATCTCACATCCATCTCCATTAAAGTCGTATGTGTGGTGTGCTCACGCGAGAAATTCCGGTGCCTGATTGCCATCACCCCCCCCCCCCCACCTCTTCCCAAACCGCCCATCACACACATACACACACCCACACGCACACTCACTGTAAATGAGGAAGTTAGCAATCCGCAATCACGACATATCATCAAATCATGCACTCGTAAGGGTGGAAGATGGACATAATAATGGATTCTCTTCTTGGATTGGTGACGTGTTGTTTAATAATAACAAGTAAGTGTCAACATTATAATCTTTGTACCTTTGTGAAGTTAACTAAACTACTTAAAAACATTTGAAATTAACGAACTATTGTGCAAAAATAATGAATGAATACATGCACTGTTTGGCGTGAACGTGTTTATAATGGCGACTTGTCTACTATCACTGTTCGTTTATTTGTTTAAAATGGAATAGAGCTGTTTAATGTCACCTAAGCGGTAGGCCTAATAATAATAATAATGATAATAGGCATTTCTATAGCGCCGTCCATCTAGAAATTCTATTCCGAGGCGCACTATTTTTTACCCCGGCTTTAGCCTAGCTGCCATTACAGCGCTCCAGCATTTCTAGGAGTTAATTCCTGCCAAGTACCCATTTACCTCACCTGGGTCGAGTGTAGCAAACGAAGATTCATGCCTTGCCAAAGGACATTAGTGCCGTATCGGGGATCGAACCACGACCTTTGAATGTCAGTACACAGTTGACTGGCCTGTTCGGGACTCTCCTTACAGAATCACTTGATCCTACCGGTGATCAGTTCTCAACAAGTGCCTGTTGATTCCCGGAGGAGAAATTGTTTGCATTTGTGCAATCATGACAATACCACCTAAAAATGTATATATTGTTTTGGTCACTGTTACAGTATAGGCCTATTCCAGCGATTCGAATTCAATTCAATTAAAGATTTATTTTAATATTCAAACATTCAGTGACAGAAAATATACATGGTCGACAGTCTAAGGGCTCAAAGAACCCCCACAAACATATTTCTATCATGTTTTCCTGGAATTTCAATTTAATAAAAAAGCAAAAAATTCACTATTAAAATGACATTTCCGACATTTGAAATATTTTCTGAATTTCTGTACAGGGTCTGTTGCTTTGGTTGTGACGAGTGGAGGACCCGTTACCACCTTCGCCGGTGGACAATCTGAGATGACTTGCACCTTCTCTCCTACCAACTCACAAGGATTATCGTTTGCTTGGTCTTTTGATGGTCAAAATGGACACAGCGATCAGATCGGCATCTGTGACGTCACACAATGTACGTCGGCAAATCCAGCTCTGCATCAACTGGTCATATCGGCTGATAATGGCGTGGGTAGGATGAAACTCAACGTTTCTGATACGGTTTCATCGGATGCTGGGGATTACACCTGTTTGGTCTCGACTAGTGAGGATGCTCAATCGGCCCTGGTGAAGTTAAAGGTTACTGGTAAGAACCCGATAAAATTATTATGCAGTAGTCGTGACGTAGCGTGAATCTGCGCTATTGAGTGGATACGATTGGGTCATTGTTTTTGTTGGTAGTTGTTTTATGGCGTTCATTCAGTACTGAAAATATATGCCATATAATAATGATTATTATAGGCATTTCTATAGCGCCGTCTATCTAGAAATTCTATCCGAAGGGCATTAATTATTAACCCAGTCTAGTCTAGCTGCCATTATAACAGCGCTCCAGCATTTCAAGGAATTAATTCCTGCCAGGTACCCAAATTACCTCACCTGTGACGATGTGGCAAATGAAGATTAATGCCTTGCCAAGGATATTTAGTGCAGTATTGGGGATCGAACAACGACCTTTGAATGTCAAGTCAAGTGCTTAAACCGCTCGACTACGACACTTAATTCTACATTATCTTCAGTTATGTAAGAAACTGAATATTATTAATCACAAGAATCTCAATTTATGAGGAGTCTCTTGATGGTTTACAACTTCGTAGTTCTGTTAAATCACGTTTAATCTGGTCAGCCCGTTTCGATTGCATTGAAAGCTTTGCTCGAGCTGAAACAGGCTTCTCGGCTATACTTGGCGTGCGCAGTGATCTTGGCGTGCACAGTGATCTTGGCGTGCGCATGTGATCTTTTAATTTGTTGACGCACGGTGCCTAGATCACTCAGAAACACAGTAACATCTTAATTGAGACACATCGTAAATTCAAATCGATTCGAGAAAATTGTTTTATGTATATATATCTTTATTTATTCTTCTTAACATAATATAATTAATTGTAAGCAAGCAATAAAGTGGGCTTTTTTGTTAGTATTTATGCATGAAAATAATATTTGTAAAAACATTTTTCATTTAAATATAGGCCTATATTAATTTTGTCAAGCGAAACATATACTTTAGGCCTATATCACTGTCTTGTAGGCATACTTATAATCCGGCTTCTGATTTTTAATTTCATTTGAAGCGACCTGTCCTATTTATATACAATGCGTACCAAACGAAACCGAGAATAATCGATGTTTTATCATAACTTAATCAAATTTATTAATAAATGACACACATTTGTAAAGCTTAGATCATAACTTAATCACAATTATAATTAATAAATGACACATATATATAAAGCTTATATAATTTTCTTTCATTTTAAAGAACTCATATGATGCATATTTCACGCATGAGTGATTAAAATCAATTTGAAGAAAGGGTACCAAAAAGTCATTTGGCGGACCGTATCTGAATTTCAAAGAGAAAATTACATTTCTAAAAAGTTCATTTTCTGCCCTTTCGTATGAGCTAGGAATAACAAAGTTCTGTTTGTTCAAAGTAAAGCTTGCGTTTCAACAATTTTTTTATCAAACAAATTCGTAGCACTGGTTGCCTGCCGTATCAACAAACAGAATCTACAAAAGACTTAACTCCGTTCCGTTGACAATCAGCCATAGACGAAAGACTTCATGCATGGTTGATTGTCTACGAAACGGAGTTAAGTATTTTGTCCAAAAATGATGCATGTACATGGCTGTGTCGTAAATTTAAAAAAGATCATTGGGTTTCTACATGTGTTATGTCTCGTTCAAAGCGACAGATCACATGAAGAATTCAATGTCTAGTTTCGATTTCAACTCTGAATACAAGTTTCTTCAGTTTTAACAAATTGCTAATACTGGGAATTACATTATTCGATATTTTTAGCATGCCGCTATGGACAGATTGGCTCTGACTGTCTCCAGTATTGTCACTGTAAAGATGGAATGCCGTGTAATGTGTTTACTGGGAGATGTAAAGAGGGCTGTGAGTCGGGGTGGTCAGGAGAAGGCTGTCAAGGTAAAGTATCATACTGGACGTAGCCAGAGACAGGGGAGGGTTTCAATATAAATCAATTCAAAGATATTTGTTTGAAATATGAATATACAAAGTAATATAATTATGAACAGATGATGCACATAATGGAAACGTTGTATCATCCGCTCAATTTGACTTGCGTGCATAGAACAAATAAGCATTTTTCCATGAAAAAGTGAAGTTTTCTAAAATGTGCGTTTCTTTCCAGCATTGGGGCGCCCGGAAGTCACTCGGGTAACATTTCATAAAGTATAATATAAAAAAACCATATGCAAATTTTCTGTACTTTCGTCGGAAAAAATACATTTATCCAGCACAATGTCGACTCTTTTTGCGTTGAAGAATAACAAATAGCGAGTTTCAATCACACTCTGGCCGCTCTCGCAAGCTCTCACTCGTTTCACTTTGGTCAAGCGACTTTGGGGCAAGCGGTTAATGAAAATACTAATCGTTAGCTTTCTTTTGGCATTAAACTTGTTTTGATTGATTGTATAATTATGTCGGAATAAAGGAAACAAAAAGGCTCGACCAATAATTTATCAGCGTCTGAATTGACCTTTTGACCTTGAATTCCCTGATGCAAGCGCACTGATGAGGTCATCTTCGCTAAATCGGTGTCTTTTATCGTAAAATGCGACACTTTCACATTGTTTTTATATCTTTTTTAATTATTAGTAAGATATAACATATTTTTTCTGATATCACTGAAGTTTTGGGTTTTATTTAATGAGTAATTTTAAAATAAGAGCCATTTTACTGTTTTAATTTACTGGATCGTACCATTAAAGTCGCAGGGTAGAAAGATGCATTTCCAACCGCGCCAAATTTAATTTACGTTCCGACATTCTGTTAAATGGGTTCGAGTTGTTAGGAATCCACTGCTTTCTGCTCCAACAAACATTTACATGCGGAGTCATTTATCAATTAAATTATTCCAATTTATGGATGCTTCTTAGCTTCCCAGATGTTTGTGTTGCTGTTGAAGCATTTTTATTCACCTGCTATCATTCTTTGTACTCCAATTGCCAGAACGCAAATTTCATTTTGGTTTTATAATTTCATCGGAGTCGTTTATCAACTATATGTATTCAAATTTATGAATGCTTCCTCCCCAGGTGTTTGTGATGTTTAAAGCATTTCATTCACCTGTTATTATTCTTTGTACTCCAATTGTTAGAATACAAAATGCATTTTGGTTTTATAGTTGTATGCAATAAAAGAGTATGTTCTGCACAATAAAAACAATGCAGTGTGTCCCTATTCTACAATGTGATGTGTCCCCTCATTTTGTAATAGTTAATTTAGCCATTCATATAATGGAACTACCTGCCCGATGAAGCCAGTGGCTTGTGACCCCTGAGCACTCAACACCGTGTGAGAGTCAGTTTGTGGTCAAATTCTTTTATGAGAAAAATGCAAGCAAACGTTTCCATATGTGTTGTCTTTGTAAAATTAAACAAAAATTGCATTTCTTTAAGATGAAAAAAAATAATTGGAGGATACACCTTTTAATAAGAGATTTTTTAGACATTGAAAAACATTATTTTGTATCTATCTGTCGGTGAGCTGTTCTTTCCATCATTAAACCACTGCTAGGAGCCTTCAAATTGGGGATGAATAATTTCTTTTTACGCTGCATTATGCCACCTATAGGTCCACGAGCTGCAAAGACTTCGAGGAACCATTCAAAGTTCAAATATTTAAGGTTTTTGTTTGATTTATTTTTGGCCGTGATGGTATCCCACCGCTGCCATATTATCCACATGCATGGCCTCAGACAGGGGTGAGGACTTTTCATTAGACATTACAGACACAGAACTATCTGTCCGTGTCGGCCGTAAAAGAAGGAACGTGGGAAAAGAAGAAAACGAAGAAATAGAAGATTAAGAACTTAGAAGAAGAAGGAGAAAGAAACGAAGAAAGAAAAAGAAACCACCTTTGGGTTGTGCTGGTTTTTCACTTTGAATTTGGAAGTTTTAGAGATATTCCATGTCACCGTTGCAACTAAGAAACTAGATAGTCATAACTAATAAATCGAGACCAATATAAATTAAATCTTATAGTAACATATAAAAAGGCCTTTTATAGTACAGGATCCTTGGAAAATATTTACCTGAAGCTTTTATATACAAAAACAAATCTATCGTTGTGCTTGTTTTACAGTGTCATCCGTTTGCCCAGTGGGTTATTTTGGTGTCGACTGCACTGATCATTGTAACTGTCCAGATAATGTTGGTTGTAACAAGGTCTCTGGATTCTGTAGCACAACAGAAGGTCAATGTGAAGTAGGATTCACATCAGACTCAGTGGACATGCCCGATAGCTGCAACTCACGTGAGACTATATTTTTGCATTAAATTGATTTGTAAATATTTTTGGGGATTCATGCATAATTGTTCATCATTTTCTGCCTGCCATCTGTCCTACCATGTTAGGAATATTTACATTGATAATCTACAAGTTATTTATAAATCGTTAAATGCACAATCTTTCCCATTTGTTTTTTAGTTACTGAATGTTACAACCTGTGTTCCCGTAGAGATGATTGCAACTCGGCGATTGGTTCTTGTAGCTCAGGTAGATGCCATCTACAATGGACAGGGGAAAGCTGCCCAATAGGTTTGATATCATTACTGCTTTATTCGTGTTTTTTTCATTTACTTCGATAGAGAGCTGCTAATAAGTTTACACATGCGTTCACATTGTTGTGTTCACATTAGGTTATTATTATCAGTATTATTATTAAAGCATCGTTTAACAATGTTAAACCTGAGATGCATAGCCCTACGTGTTATCAGTGTCTGTGATATGGTGTAATATTGAAGCCCTAACTAAATTTCGCTTCAAAATACTCATGAAGTGCCTCAAAAAAGTAAAAACCTCAGTTTGAGTGACCGGTTTTACCATACTCATTTTCCCCAATAGACTGGAGTGTTACAAAAACCGTTAGGAAAACGCAAAATTTGATTTTGATTTCCAATCAGAAATATCTTGATAATCAGACAGGCAACTCGGCTTGTAAAAGTCATGGGGTTCCTGACTGACCTAAATGTTTATAATTATCATTTCACATGCCATTAGTCATTGCAATCAATTATGATCATATTCCATTAACTGATTTATTTATCATGAAGCCTCTCTATCAACTCTGATGCTATACCTCGGTATTTCTAATCTAGTATCTGATTTATTTATTATGGATCTATCAACTCTGATGCTACCTTGGTATTTCTAACTCATGTCATTTCTTTTCACTACCATCCACCTTCACACCACCATCCTCTTCATCACCTACTACCTCTTCTCCATCAGCAGCAACTTTAGCCCGAGTTCCTTCAGGTTCCATAGCAACAGCCGTAGGAAGCGCTGTTGGTGCTTTCCTTGTGATTTTTATCGTAATAAGTTCGATCTTCATCTTTTACAAGCAACGAAGGTTAGAGAGATACCTTGTACTTAACTTGTCCCTCTCATTAGTCCATTCGCACCGAACTTCTCCATGCAAGATGCTAAAACCGTATGGTCATGACAAAATACAAACTGAATTAAGATTTTTGTTAACGTTTTTTAATCTATAAAGTTATTTAATTACTTTCTTCTTCGTTCCTAATTGCTATTCAATGTAAATATTCTAAAGCAAAACGCTTTTTAAATGCTATGGCAACCCGTTTGAAAGACATTTTGTGTTAATGGCATACGTTTTAAAAGTACCATACCAAGTCTCACATGTCATGTTGACATGTTTCTATATACCATTCTTGGGACTTTATTATTTTTTTAATTATGTATTTCGTCAATGCAAGTTATATATGCGTTTTTAATATTAACTTTCAGCGATGAATCAGCCACTACTGAGTCTACTAAAGGGAAGGAGTCTGATTCGTCTCCGCAGCATGAGAACTCTGTATTTGATCAGTCAAAGACAGACGTCAATACCTACCAAGAACTGAATACGAATCTTACCGACCCTCATGCCTATCAAGCTCTCAAGAAACTTGGTCAAGAAGCTAACTACCAAGATCTTAATACCGACTCTCAGAGATACTCGAATCTTACCGACCCTCATGCCTATCAATCTCTTAAGAAACCCGATCAAGAAGCTAACTACCAAGATCTTAATACCGATTCTCAGAGATACGCGAATCTTACCGACCATCATACCTATCAAGCTCTTAAGAAACCTGAACAAGAAGCCAACTACGAAGAATTGAATGGCGCCTTAAAGAGAGATTATGTCAACGTGCCAGGCATTCAAACAGTACTATCACAACTTGAATGATTTTGAGTTATCAAGAAGGAAAAAAAAAATATAATTTTGAGAGACAAAATATTTTCAATTTGGATTTATTACATATAAATGTCAATGTATCAATATTTCCGTGAAGATGAAACCATGCATTAACCTTTATCGTGAAATATCAAAGTTTATCTTAATAACTGAAAGGAAACTATATGCTGATGGACTGTGGCGTCTATCAAATATGATATCATGACGAAAATTTGTCATAAACTGTCATGGCTTTCTTTTTTTCGTCCTGTGCTCCTCTATCTTCGTTTTCATTTACCATGTCTACTCGCGTTACTCCTAAATCTTTTGATATCGGGGATCAGTCGAAATATTTCCTTTTGAAATACCATGATTTGCACATGATTGTGTGACGAATGTGGGTAAAAATAGTTGTAGGCCTTAGGTCCCACCATTACATAAAAGTCAGGGTATGGGTTTCTTTAAATAAATATACATTATATATGTACATATATAATATATATACATGTATATATCTTTCTTGATTGAAGTTTGTTCTACTGTCATTTTCTGAATAATGTGAAGGATGTATAAGAAAAACATGAATTTTAAATCATGGAGCAGCAAAACATAATTCTATTTTGGATTTTTGATTGATTGATATTTTGTTGTTGATTTTGTTGTTGATTTTTGTTATCTGCTGAGGTATATGATGAAAACGAAATATAAGATATTTTTTGAATGATTCAATGCTGATGCAAATATAAGGAATAAATATTGAGTCATGTATATACACGTATGCCATTAAGTAGGAAGGCATATTCCATCATGCTAATCGGGTTTTGAGAAAATGTTGTACTGTAATTTTTGTCAGTATCGAGTATTAATGTTTTTGCCTGCTATTGGTGATGGAAAGCATTATTACCATATTTTCGGACAATAATCAATAAATTACCAATCATTATTATTATTATTATCATTTTTATTGTTATTAGTATTATAATTATTACTAGTATACTATTACTACTACTACTACGACTACTAAGCAGTGGGATTCAAGTTGATTAATGGGTCAATTATAATGTGTTAGGATGTGAACGATGATATATTAAAATATAAGTTGTGAATATAAACATAGACTATATATGCATAATAAAATAAACGTGAAATCATTGTGTTATATAAGGATGGATGTTTAGGTCAAACATTAGATATAGAGTTAGAAGTTAATTAATAGAGTTAGATAATGCAATCCAAGTAGTGAACATGTATGTATGACCATTCTAGCAGGGGATGTTTAGGCACATATTAAATACGAATACTGATAAATAAAATTATAGAATGCACAATATGTAAACATCAGACAAGTATAAACAATAAAGAGCACAAACAAAGAAAAGTGCTCGTTTGTTTGATTTAAACTTGTCAATTAGTACTTAATTTTCACATTTCTTAACAAAACTAACCCGTCTGATTATTAAAGCAGTTTGAAATTTGGCAGACTTGTTAAATAACTCACTAATTTAGATTACTCATTTGCCATTTAATCACATGTGATAAGCCTAATAACCTGACTGACTGAGTAATTGAAGCATTACTCACTAGTTGAGATGGAGCGATTTACTCACAACATTAGGTTAAATAACTCACGAATTTAAAATACTCATTTGCCATGTCACTACAATGTCCAATTAACAAAACTCATTGTTGTGCATTATCAATCTCAATTTAATGAGTTAATGCATTCAGTTAAGTGTTACTATAGTGTCAAAGTTTATTTCCCTGACCCAAATATTTTGTTGTGTGTGTCCAGGATATGGAATGAGGTGGGAAACAAATTAAACATGTTTCAGTTTCTTAATAATTATGCAATGGATTGATGTGTTACTTCACACAAAAAACAAGAACTCCCTGTTTCGAGTAAAACCCTTAACAAACTCATATAGTCGGGTGAATTCGAAAATAAGTATTTTTACACCTAAACTGAAGTACATGACCAAGCATCACATTTGTTAACGCGTTTTACTCGATGTTATATATTATATGAGCAAAAATCAAGGAGAAATTGCCAATACATTATCTTAAAAATGGGAAAATTTTACCCCTAAAGGCAGCGGGGCTGATTATTCTGCACAACTCTTGCGTTCGAAATCAGAATAGGAATAAATGTTAAACTGGCGCGCTCAGGATGAATTTCTGCACTACTCTTGCGTTTGAAATCAGAATAGGAATAAATGTTAAAATGGCGCGCTCATGATGAAATTCTGCACAACTCTTGCGTTCGAAATCAGAATAGGAATACATTTTAAAACGGCACGCTCAGGATGAATTCGTGCAATACTTTTGCGTTCGAAATCAATCACTTTTACAATTCTTGATATCAAGAAATGATGTTCTGTTTTAAAGCAATGGTTATTCTTGATATCAAGAAATAGGAATAAATGTTAAAAACGGCTTACCATACGCGCGCGCTATGCAATGAATATCCATAAAAGCGTGACGTACTGTATAGGCGGAACAAATAAAATATGGAATACATTGTTCATTATAATTTGCATATGAGAGACATTTAAACATCACCTGACCGCTGTATCCATTGAACCATGGTCCTAAGTACTACGAAGTCCATGATTGAACCCACACAGACAGTAGACTAATGTTTCGGCTGTATCATGACGACAAGCTATTATATACAGAGAACTGTACTGTATGATCCCAAGCGTACCATCATTTCCGTGATAAAACAAATGCCATCAGGAGGTACATTTGGACGCTGAACCTAACGGTAGACTTAGTTTTGACTCCTAGCTACTTTTACCTTTCTTCATTTTGTACCATTGAGGGAGAATTTTCCTATTATTTGAATACATCGAGCGAGATCAGACATTGTGATTGGTCGTAATTAAAATAATTGTGCAAGCTAAAAAGTCTTGACAGTGACTGACAGAGGTAAGCTGTTTTAATTTTTACTGCAGTCCCAGTGGGTCCCAGTGTCAATGAGCACGATCAAAATGGCATTGGACAAGAAATCAGTCGTGTTCCTCAGTACTTTCGTGATTTTGATTTGTGACCTTATTCTGTACGCCAGAGCTCAGACTTTTACAGAACAGCCACAAAGTTTTGTCGGACTTAAACCTGGTGATAATAGTCTGACAGATTTAGAATGCGCTTATACCACTCAAAATGCAAATGATGTCATTGGATGGGTTGTTAATGATGTCAGGATTTCAAATGGAAATGACAAGATCAGTGAAGCTATTACTTCAGTTTTAGGAAGTGAAGCAATTACTCAGTTGCAGCCATCGTCGTCTGGGAATGTATATGGCCTGGTCTTCTACGGTGTTACTCCTGTTGTGGCAGGTGATTACAGATGTCAACTCTGTACGAATGATGGTAATAATGGATGTGGAACTGTACTCATAGAATCTGATGTTTCACAAGTGCAGGTGGAATATGAGCCTACTGAAACGCCAACATGTCTTCCGACATCTAGCACGACGAGAGTTGTTTTGGGAGAGGCTGTGATGTTGTCTTGTGCTTCTGAACCCGGTCTTCCAGTGGTAGAGTTGGAGTGGCTGCGCAACTCGGCCGTGATATCTGGGCAGCCCGAACCAGTGGTGATGAATGGGGTTTTGTACAACAACTTCAGTTACATACCAGATGTCTCTGATATAGGTGTACAGTTAACATGCCGGATGCAGAGTGCATCTAACTCTCTTAACTGCCAATCACCCACTTTCAATATAGTTTCGACACCAAATGTTGTAGTTTTTCCACCGGATCCAAACCAAGTCCCAGAAGGATCAGAAGCAGTGTACACATGCCAGGCTACGAGTGAGACCAATACACCCATTGACACGTATGGATGGCTAGTTGAAGATATACCAGCTTCACGGTATACAGCGAGTGATAATACGCTAACCATTGCATCAGTCACTGTTGGTGATCATGGAAAGACTATTCAGTGTGAGGCAACTGATGAAGAGAATATGAAAGGAATGGGAGAGCGTGTAATCCTTGTTGCTGTAGAGGTGGTTCCATCCAAGCTCCCTACAGTACCAACGCGATTTGTCACCACAGTCATCCCAGGTACTACTAAAACTGAATCTCCAGGGGGCATCTCTACGATAGCAATAATTATTGTCATTATGTGTAGTTGCTGTATTTCTCCTAGAAGTCCAAGGAGATGTTTTTTTTATTTCGCAAGAATCATTACGGTGTTGCCCGTGGTGATAATGGAAGAGTGTATGATGATGACAACCAGTCACATCCAGCTCGTTATTCCACTTATGGAAGTTCTGATTACGATTACCAGCATTCAAATTCAACCGATTACTTTGACGAATCCACACGTCTTAGATTGGTCTTATATTGTGCTTGTTATTGTCTTACCGCAGGAGACTTAAAGATATCTTTTCTCGAACTGATTTTGATTTCTATTTATGCTTGAAAATTTACAGATCAAAATAAGATCTATAATCAGCCTACGAAGGCCTCATCTTAGATTTAACGACCGTCGATACTCCAGACCGTACAGGCAAACGATCTAGACCCCATTCTCGCTCATTTCCTGGACCGATCTTGGCTAGACCGGTCTAGGCTAGATCGGTCTAACTGTGAGTGAGAACGGACAACCGTGCCAGGAAGCGATCTTCTGGACCGATCCAGAATGATCCAGAAGATCACTTCGCGATTTGGTCTTCTGGACCGGTTCGCTTCCTAGACCGCTCTAAACCCATCTAGCATGCAGTGTGAACCCAAACCTTGCCAGGAAGTGATCTGTAATTGGAAGTGAGTGTGTTTTGGAGGGAAAGTAATGAACGAGAGGAAGAGATTACAGTACAAGAATAAAACAGAGAATAATTTAAGGAAAGGCGGACCGGAAATGATAGAATGGTTAAACTAAGAATAACATAATAAAAGGAAGAAAGGAAGAATCAAAATTAAAGGAAAGACAGAAAGAGAAAGTGATAGAATGATAAAACAAAGAATAACATAAGAGAAAGAGAGCGGAAACTGTCTTTCACTTGTGGTCAGCTAAACCACGTGTATTCCTCGCTCCAGACCCTAATTCGATTCCAAATTTCCAACGTTAAATTACACAAGCCGACAAGGGTTCGTATCTTTCTACAAAATACACAATAAATAATTTGCGGAATATAACCTCGTGTCAATTTTAGCTGTATACTAGACCATGGGCCAAGCCTCGAAATTCTTCAGTTCCGTGGTCCCCTCCCCCTGGGCAGTACTTTATTTTGTCCTAAATGATCAATGGACATATATCTAAGAACAATGGTCAAATGTTCCCATCTCTAAATTTGTACATTTTCACAGCTGGGGTGTTAGAGCCCAGAGTGCAATTGACCAATCACAGTCCCTGTACTCTGAGTCTTTGTATGCATGCAGTGTCTGCTGCC